CAGCTACTTTTCATAGCTCAGTAGACAGTGAACGCCTGAGGCATATTCCAGAGTGAGACTATTGTGTCCTTTACAGAAGTCATTGTCACTGTCACCCTGGAGACTGTATCCTCTCTGAGTCTCAGGGAAGCCAGAAGCACTGTCTTTATTCTCAGTGAAAAGTCATCCATAACAAGGTATCCTTCCCCGAACCTCTAAGTAGATAGTTTTTTTTTTTATTGTTTGCTATCTTTTCCTTTGACAATAAGACCCAAAAAGCCTTTTTCTCAGTGGAATGAACCTCATCACATCCTAAACGTCTGGAAGGGCTATGGGCAGGTGAAAAATGCAAGGCCGTCTCCTGTTCAAATTTTCAACCTTATACATTTTCTGAAGAAAAATGGAAGTGCTGATGGAGAGGGTGATCCCAACCAGAACAGAGCTGATGCTCTATGACCCAGAAGCCAAGGTTAGAAAGAAAATCTGGATCCACAGTTTCATTAACATTGAAAAGCTGCCCCAGAACAGAATCAGGATGGAGCACTGGGCACAATGTTGGAATTCATTATATACACTAAATGCTGTTTTATTTATTTTTTGGCAAAGTGCAGCAAGGAGATTGTTCTTAATCAGAAAACCCTATTAAATTGTTTTTAAATCTTTACTTATTTCTGAGAGAGAGAGACAGAGAGAGAGACAGAGAGACAGAGTATGAGCAGTGGAGGGGCAGAGAGAGAGGGAGACACAGAATGTGAAGCAGCCTCCAGACTCTGAGCTGTCAGCACAGAGCTCGAACTCACGAACTAAGAGATCATGACCTGAGCTGAAGTTGGACATTCAATTGACTGAGCCACCCAGATGCACCAGAAAACCCTATTTTAATATCTAAGGTTTAAAAATATTTTGATGAAGTTTTACATGTATTGCCTGAAAACATATTATTTTTTATATTGATCTATCGGAAACCTGAAAGACGTTCCATGCCATTCTTGGGTGTGGATCACAGCACGTTATGTGTTGTTTCAGGTTTTTCTTTTTTTAGAAGATCGCTTCAATTTTCATCTTGGTGCTAATGAGTGAGTTAGTGAGTTGATGAGGAGTCATTTAATTTTCAGTTTTTTAAGTGTTTTTTTTTTAATATTTTTATTTATTTCTAGGAGAGAGAGAGAGAGAGAGAGAGAGAGACAGCGTGAGCAGGGGAGGGTCAGAGAGAGAGGGAGATACAGACTCTGAAATAGGCTCCAGGCTCTGAGCTGGCAGTCAGCACAGAGCCCGACGCGGGGCTCGAACCCACGAACCGCGAGATCATGACCTAAGGGAAAGTCGGACGCTTAACCGACTAAGCTACCCAGGCGCCCCTTTTTTTTTTTTTTTTTTTTTTTTTTTGAGAGGGAGACAGAGACAGTACTGGTGGGGCTGTGTCAGAGAGACGATTAACTAACTAAGCCACTCAGGTGTGCCAATTTAATTTACAGACAAATAGGGCCTACTATAGAATCATTTCTCTTACCAAAATAAGGTGCTTTTGTTCTTGTTTCTCTTTTTGTCTATAAACTTTTCTCAATTGGTTAGCACAGTGCACTCTTAAAAACCAAGCTGTAAAAATTTTTAAAGTGTATTTTTTAGGAGGGCAATTTTTAAAAATCATGATTGATGAAAGAATGTAAAAAATATAATTTTGTACATCAGTTTTAGTGACTCCTGAGATGTAGAGTTTTTCACTGTGAGTTTAATATTCCTTTTTTAGAGAAATGTTTTCATAAATTCTTGCCAGGAATGGAAATGCCTTCTTATTTTTTTCCTTCTTCCTTATATACATCCTCTTTTGTTTTGTACGTTGCTGTTGTGAGAATAATAAAAGATAAGGCCCAAAAAATCAAGTTTATTTTAGTGTTGAACTTTGATACCTGTTGCTATAATCTAGATTTTTTTAAATTTCATTTCTCAAAAAAAGAGATACATGTTTTCCTGACTGAAGCTTTTCTTTTTCAGTAAGAACTTACTCTATTATACATGTTTTAACTTTAAAGACAGTGCACAAGCATGCTCTCAAAGAACAGGAAGATACCAGGAAGTTCAAAATACATCTATCATTCTCAGAATGAGAAAAAAAACACCTTCTCAGTTTTTTGGGGTGCCTGGCTTGCTCAGTCAGAAGAGTGTGCAACTCTTGATCTAGGGGTTGTGGGTGCTACATGGTGGGCATAGAGATTACTTAAATAAGTATTTAAGACAAAAACAAAACTACATCCTCTTTGATTTCTGAGAATGCAGGAAGGTAAAGGAAAAGCGTTAAACCATAAAAACCAACAACAAACAATCCAATACTTAGAGAAGTTTATCTTTCCAGAATAAATTTTACCATTACTGACCTTAATATTTTTTAAACATCTATGAGAGCTAAAAGAAAGCTTACTCTTTTTTAATCCCTAAAAACAGATAGTACTGGTCTTCTTTTACATTAGGTCCTGCAGAAATGTATATGGATTGATAAACTGACATAACATTGCACATTTACACGCACATGCAGGTGAGCGCGCGCACACACACACACACACACACACGTTAAAACAAAACAAAATAAAATCCTTTGATGTAGTACTTTCCCAAATAATTATCTTTAAATAAAAATATCCATATGTTGTGAGGTGCTTGTGTGGCTCAGTGTGTTTAGCATCTGACCCTTGATTGCAACTCTGATCATGATCTTGCAGTTTGTGGTTTCGAGTCCCACATCAAGCTGTGAGCTGACAGTGCAGAGCTGGCTTCAGATTTTCTGTTTCTCTCTTTGTCCTCCTCCCACTCTCAAAAATAAACAAACATTTAAAAAGTACATCCATTTGTTCGGAGATGATTCTACATGGACTTTCTCCATAACTAAAATAAGCTTTTTTCCAGATAGCTTTTCAAGGATGCTTGTATAGAGAACAGCTTTGGAAGAGATATATAGTGCCTCTCTTCAGGGTAAAGAGAAGATACATTTCCTGAACAAAATAATACATCACTTCTTTGCAGGGCAATATCGTGGCAGGTTTGCTAGCATCCTGCTTACAAAATTGAGGGTTTCCTAAGCTTATGGTTCTTTAGCTCAGATATAAACCTGTGGTGTACATGTAGCATCTACCTGGGACCCTCCTCGGCTCTCCTGTGGGACTTGGGAAGCAAAGGGAACTGATGCAAACATAAAGGTCATCCAGCCTTCCTGTCCATTATGTAATACCTAGAAATCTCCATTCTTCTACCACCATCCCTAAAACAGGGGTAGGCAAATTTGTCCAGTTACAAATAAGCTGAAATTTCAAAATTTTTATACTTCTCAATGCCTTATTGATGTGGTTTTGGATGATGGGGGTCTGGAGCCATTAGCCAAGAAAGAATTCTTGAGATGTATTTGGAACAAAAAAGGTGATTTTATTAAAGCATAGGGACAGGACCCATGAGCAGAAAAAGCTGCCCTGGGACTGTGAGGAGACTGATTATATACTTGGGTTTGTGGGAGGTAAAGGCAAGGTAAGTTTCCAAAAGGATTTTCATATGTTGAGGAACACTTGGGATACTAGATGCCTAGCTATTGTCAAGCTAAAGTTGTTTTTACCTCCAGCAGAACATTAGCAGCAAGAAAGTAAAGAATTCCTGGATAATGTTATATTCCACCTGCCTTAAGTATTTGTCAATGGGCTGTAGGTTATAAGGAAATTTAATTTTACCTACCATTTCCTTCTACCTTTTTCCCACATCACTGACTATATAGAAAACTACACAAGCAAATACTGTAAAATGACATCTATCTTATGTATGTTTCTAATTCTGATATATGATTACTTGGGTAAAGTACTCAGTTTTTTTCTTTTATTTAGGTTTTTTTCTTGTTTTTTGTTTTGTTTTGTTTTGTTTTGTTTTTTTGAGAGAGAGAGAGAGAGAGAGAAAGAGAGAGAGAGAGAGCACAGGTGGGGGAGAGGGACAGAAGGAAAGAAAGAAAGAATCCCAAGCATGTTCCATGCTCAGCACAGACGGGAAGCAGGGCTGAATCCCACAACCCCAGGATCATGACCTGCACAGAAACCAAGGATCTACTCAGATGCCCCAAGTGCACAGTTCCTAAATGCACAAATTAATGCACTGTGTTTTGACTAACATATCCTACCATATCCCCTGCCAAACATAGACAAGTTCTACCACTTTGGCGATTTCTCTTCTTTCTCATTCAACCAGCCCCTACTATGAACATTTTTAGTCAATAATTTTTATTATTTATTTCCCCATAAATTGGTTTGCCTCTTCTTGAAGTTTATTTTTGTTAAAACATTTTGTATGGGTTCTTTTTAGTCTGTTGCTTGTTCTCAAAATAATGTTCCCAAAAGTCATCCATACTGTTGTGTAGATTATATTTTGCTACTTATTGCTGAGTAGAATTTCACAGAATTTATTTGCACAATGCTACCCATTCTTCTTTACATAGACACTTGTATTTTTCCAGTTTTTAGTTTTTTATGAATAAAACTGCATCAAATATCCCTTATAAGTCTTTTGTGAACATATGTTGGGTAAATATCTAAAAGTGTAATGAATAGAACACATGGAATAATATAATATAGGTATATGTGACACATTTAGCTTTTAAAGAAGCTATAAGATAGATTGGCAAATTGGCTCTACCATTTTATATTCCTACTAGCAAAGTATGAGAGTTCCAGTTATTCTTCATCATCTCCAACATTTTGGTTTTTTAATTATAGCCATCCTAGTGGGTGAAGAGTTTTATTTTGCATTTCCATGGTGAGAAACAATGTCGAATAACTTTTCATGTGCTTACTGATTATTGGCATGTATTCTTTTGTAAAATCTCTGACCAAATTTTGGTTATTAAAAAAAAACTGTGCTATTTATCTTATTGTTGGTTGATATCTTTTATATATAATTTTTCAGAAACACATGCATATACACATATATATTATATATGTGCACGTATTAAACACTTCCATCTATACAATTCATTATTATGTTCTTTTTTTTTTTTTACAAAATGTTACAGGTCTCATTGTCACCACTGCAAAAAATGTGCTGTGATGCAAGCATTACCTGTGTCTCCATGTAGCATTATTATGTTCTTAATGGTAAATTCTCTTTTGTTTCTTTAAAAAAAAATTTTTTTAATGTTTATTTATTATTTTAAGAGAGGGAGAGACAGAGCACAAGCAGAGGATAGGCAGAGAAAGAGAGAGATACAGAACCCGAAGCAGGCTCCAGGCTCTGAGCTGTCAGCATAGAGCCTGATGTGGGACCCAAACCCACAGACCACAAGATCATGACCTGAGCTAAAGTTGGACACTCAACCAACTGAGCCACCCAGGTGCCCCTTAATGGTAAATTCTGATTAATGAGTTTTATTTTTTGTGAAGTCCTATTCATCTTTTTAAAAATTTTTGATAAGGGCACTGTGGGTAAGTGCTCAACCCATTTTAAACTATTTTTTTATGGCTTGAGATATGGATTAAAGTATATTATATTTCTTCACAGACACTGCTTATCTTAAAAGATATTCAGTTGCAGCACTATAGACAATACCCAAACTATGGAAAGAGCCCAAGTGTCCATTGGCTGATGAATGGATAAAGAAGATGTAGTATATATACACAACGGAATATTACTCAGTGATAAAAGAGAATGAAATATTGCCATTTACAACAATGTGGATGGAACTAGAGTGCTTTATGCTAACCAAAGTCAGTCAGGGAAAGACAAATATCATGTGACTTTACTCATATGTGGAATTTAAGATACAGAACAGATGAACATAAGGGAAGGGAAACAAAAATAATATAAAAACAGAGAGGGAGACAAACCATAAGAGACTCTTAAATACAGAGAACAAACTGAGGGTTGCTGGAGGGGAGAGGGGATGGGTTAATGGGCAAGGGACATTAAGGAAAACACTTGTTGGGATGAGCACTGAGTATTATATGTAAGTGATGAATCACTAAATTCTATTCCTGAAAACATTACTACACTATGTGTTAACTAACTTGGATTTAAGATAAGAAAAAGAAGATATCCAGTTGTTCTAATATCTTTGTTGAAGACTTTCCCTTCTCCATTGAACTGCACTGATACAATTCAACTGCCTATGTATGTGTGTATCTTAACATACTACATGCCTGTAATATCCCAAAATTGAACTCAATAGTCATTTCCAGACCTGTTGGTATTTATTTGGTATTTGTAATTTTGATTAAAAATTAAGTTTTGATCTGTACCTGAATATAGTACTTATATATCAGCCCGAAAGTTATTTCTGCATGAAACAGTTTTCCAAATAAAAATTTCAGTTTTTGTCTAAAATACCAAGTTCACATTAATGCCGTGATTGCCTCAAAATATAAAGAATATTTTACAAAAGCAGCAAATAGATAGCTTTAAACAGATGCTTATGAATTATTTTATAGACCATATAAGACCATTAACTCTAAGGCTCATATTTATTGACTGTCTAACTCTCATATCTCTTACTTTGAATCAAATTTGCATTGGTTCACAGTCCTCTTCAATATAAACATACTATCTGTAAATACATGCTATAGAAGAAATCCACTGAAAACATGAAGTAATAAGATATTCTTCCTCTGGGGGGGACTTGGGTGGCTCAGTCGGTTAAGCATCTGACCTTGGCTCAAGCTATGATCTCCAAGTTCATGAGTTTCAGCTGCATGTCAGGTTTGGTGCTGATAGTTCAGAACCTCCAGCCTGCTGCAGATTCTGTCTGTCTGTCTGTCTCTCTCTCTGCCCCTCCTCTATTTGCACACTCTCTCTCTCTCTCTATCAAAAAACTAAACATTAAAAAAATTTAAAAAATAAACATTAAAAAATGTTAAAAAGATTATATAAATATATAAAAATAATATCTGCCAATGAAATAACAATTTATAATTCTTCAAAGAACTATAGAGAGCTTTTAAGCCTCATTTTAGTACAGCACAGTTATTATTTCCTGAATTAAGCCTTTATGGTAATGTTTTTTTTTAAATTCTCTTTTCTCAAGCCATTCAATATAAACTTCCTGAAATATTTTGCAAAAGCCTAGTAATATTACTAATGTTAATGTATAGTTTCATATTTAAAGTCCCTGTAAATGATGGTATTAGATGTTATTCAACTCTAATAATTTCCATTACATTTTAGTAATATACACACCACAGGAGATGATAATAGACATGGAAGCCAAACTTTATGTTAATGAACTTTCTACATTTATTAGACACTTTGGGTAGAGTTTTTGCATGGTGTGCAAGGGAGTGGAAGTACAACTCTAATTGGCCTTAATTGAAGATGCATAATTAATTCTCTTCATACTGTGCTAAAAATCCCAGTGTCTCTTATTTCAATTGGCCTCGAAATATGAAGGAAAAAAATTATGGTATTATAATAATAATGTTTATTGAAATAAACTTTGAAATATAAAATACTTCTCATAAAATAATTATGGATCTTTTTATATTGATATGTGAATTACTTTTCCTTTCATAAAAGATAAACCAATTAAAATTTAAAGATATGTATTTGAAAGATGATTGCATGAATTCTCCTCAGACAAACTAGCAGTTTTAAAGTCACTTGTAAGAGTACAGTAGAGTGGAACTTGTAAATAAATAAAAGAATTGAGATTAAACTTTAAACAAAATTACTAAAATAAATTTATATTAGGAAGAATTCTGCAGTAAGATAAATTACTTCAGGATTGATTGCCAGTCCTAAATAAATTTCTAAAATAATAATTTGAATCCTCTATCTTATTATTCCCCCAAACACTAAATCATGAAAATGTATATTACTGTCATAATAATATGAGAGAATTTTTAAGTGCAGAAAACAATGCATGATTATGGAAAAGAAACAGAAAAACAAAACATGCTTTTGCAACTATGAAACCATTTTCATTTTGTTTCAAATCCATTTAAATGCATCTTTAAATCAATAAGGGATTGAATACAATCAGATCACATTATGCTGTAATTGACTCATTGAGTTTAATGTGGCAAGAGGTTTTTAAGAGTTTTTATTTATTACTTATTTGAAAGATCAATTTTTGGATGATCTTATTGATGCCTACAGATAAGCTGATAATGCAACCAGGAATCGGGGGTCCTGTTTTTTTTCCCTTTGAGATTATTTATAGTTAAAACTTTTGTCTTTATATTAAAATAATTATATGTGTCTTTATCTTTAAAATGACCAAAAACATCTGTACTTTGCCATTAAATCTCCATGAAATTTAAAAATAATTGAATTACCGAAGGCAAAATGCAGTTTCCTCTTGTGCAGTATGTTTCTAACAATACTGCCTTTGTCCTTTGTTATCACTTAACACATGATGCAATTTACAAGTACAGTAACATAAAAGTACTTGAAAAATTACCAAGTATGTTTTATCAATAGGGAGGACCATTTTCATTGATTCATTCAAAGACGATGTTTTAATGTTTTAACTAGTCTCAATTCCTCACATATGGAAGAATGGTTGTTATTATTATTATCTGCCCAAGATTCCTGGATAATTGCTTTTACATTCTATAACCCACAAAAGTAAGTATTGAAAATTATAAAAGTTTAAAGAAAATATGTCATCATTCTAATTTTTCTATGTGACAATGGTTCACTCATATGGCTTAAGATGAAACACGATTAGATCAAATTCATTGTGTAACAAAGTGTACCTATATTAACTCCACAGATGATATGAAATACTTCCAGTATTAAAAAAATGAGAAAACCCTGGGGCACGTGGGTGGCTCAGTTGGTTGAGTATCTCACTTCAGTTCAGGTCATGATCATCCAGTTCCTGAGCCTGAACCCTCCGTCCGGCTCTTCGCTGATGCTTGGCTCAGAACCTGGAGCCTGCTTTAGATTCTGTGTCTCCCTTTCTCTCTGTCCCACCCCCAGTTGCTCTCTGTCTCTCAAAAACAAATAAATATTATTTTTTTAATGAGAAAAATCCTAATTTTCAATATTGGAAAGGAGGTAAAAACTTGAAATTTTGCTAAATGTATGGGAGAATGCCAGTTTTATTCACCACTATACACGGAGTATATTACAGTGCTGCTTACAAGATGCTCACTATGGATGGATGAGTAAGTGCTGACACAGCTAAATCAAATCAGTCAGTGTTAGGGGTGCCTGGATGGCTCAGTTGGTTGGGCGTCCGACTTCAGTTCAGGTCATGATCTCAGGATTCATGGGTTTGAGCCCCGCAGAGGGCTCTGTGCTGACAGCTCAGAGCCTGGAGCCTGATTCAGACTGGGTCTCCTCTTTCTGCCCTTCCCCCACTCACATTCTGTCTCTCTCTCAAAAATAAATAAAACCTTAAAAACATCAGTCAGTTTTAGAACTAGATGTTTCAGTGAGTTCCAGTTTACTTGAATATATTTATGAAACCATCAGTATCTCGATACCAGTTGCTTTGTTGTTGTTGTTGTTGTTAACATTAATACAATCATTTTCTAAATATTTGAAGGAAATTAAAAGCAGATCGAGTAGAAAGTGCCAAGTAAATGGTACCTTTCGTACTTTCAAAAAAGCTTTCAGAGCAACCTAGTTTAATCATTTCCTGCTACATTAATAAATAATATTTGACCCTTCTTGACCAGGAAAAAAGACAAAAACAAAAACAAAACCTGAACTCTTGAGCGCTAAGGGATGAAATGGAGGTGCCTAGAGAAAACAACCCATAAAACTAATAGGAAACTGATGGAATGGGAAAAGGTAGTTGCAAATGACATATCAGATAAAGGGCTAGTATCCAAAATCTATAAGGAACTCACCAAACTCCACACCCGAAAAACAAACAATCCAGTGAAGAAATGGGCAGAAGAAATGAACAGACACTTCTCCAAAGAGGACATCCAGATGGCCAACAGACACATGAAACGATGCTTAGCATGCCTCCTCATCAGGGAAATACAAATCAAAACCACACTGAAATACCACCTCACGTCAGTCAAAGTGGCTAAAATGAGCAAATCAGAGGACTCTAGACGCTGACGAGGATGTGGAGAAATGGGCACCCTCCTACACTGTTGGTGCAAACGTAAACTGGTGCAACCCCTCCAGAAAACAGTGTGGAGGTTCCTCAAAAACTTAACAATAGAACTCCCCT